CCTTACTGCCAGGGAAATTCCTAGCTTCCTTCTTTATTATTGAACATTTCCATATTCCCCCATCCCATGCATTCATATTCTCCTTCACATTAAATATAAATCTTTATCCCTATTTTCTACCAGGCTGACCCTACCCAAACCTCAAGCCCTCTTCCTCAAGGATGACCCATAGTTGGCCCTAATGTATAGTAATCTCTCCTCCGCTGAGCTATACTTGCTATTTCTATAAAAATTTATAATTCATTATACATTATGTGTAGCACTATGCAATATATATTTTGTGTGTGCATATAACAATTATTATTTGCTCATCTATTCATGTATGTATCTGGCTTATCTATCTATAGCATTCTCTGAAAGCTCACAGAATTAATGCCTCATGTATTATATCAATTTAGTACAGTGCTTGGAACAGTGCTAGTTTCAAATAGGCCCTTACCAATTGACTGACTAATCAATTAGCAAAATGGAAAATCCAGCCAGTATGCTCAAGCTTTGTCTATTGGAAATTACTTTCCTAAAGAGCATTTTTCCTTCCTTTACAGATCAATTGCAAAGTCAAAATTCAAACACTGCAAATTTCACAAACAGGAATAGCTGGTAAGTATTGGAAGCTTTACAAATAATAAATGTGCACATCAAAACCAAAGTTGCAGATGTTTGTAAAAGTATACACATGCAGCTCATGCAACTTATATGAGCAGAGATGGCTAAAAACGCTCACATGCCAGCCTAGGTAACGAGTATAAGCTGACCCTGAGAGAGTCCAACCTGACCCTGATAAAATCCAGCATAGTTGCATGGTTTCCAAATCACCGGAATATTTCTAGAGTATAGCCTAGCTTTGCCAATTGCAAAGGAACTACATATTTATTTTGGCAAAGCTCTCTTGTTTGCTGAACCTTCAGTCCTTTACAGCATCTATAAATGAAGGCAACCAAGTCTGTTTCATTAGGAGATAAACCCACACATTATACATTTCTATAGTTGATAGTGCATAAAGGAGTGGAAATAAAAGCAATCTTTCTACCTTACTTATTCTAATCCAGCTTTCTTTGCAGAAGACCAATACTGAAAATAAGTATGGCTTGTCTATGCTAATCAATTATATTTATAAGTCTCTTATAGGTTTGATTAGACCTCTTTAGAATTAAGGTCAAAAGGGTAAATGTTCAAATTGCATATAGCATAAGGCAGTAGACTGCAATTCTTTATATTATAAAATATATACCTGGTGCATAGCATTATTTTTCTAGGATAATTATGTTTACTCTAATTTGGGGCTTACTCTTTGACAGAAACTGTTCTAAGCACTTTAGATATACTTATTCAGTCTTCAGAAGGGTCCCATGTTGTAGGTACAATTGTCATCACCATTCTATACATGGCAAACTGAGATACAGAGAGTTTAAGTAAGTTTGGCAAGTGGAGAGTTCAGAGGCATAAAGATCACTCTGTCTTAGTTTCTGGAGCCAGGAAGAAGCACATCTAGTATTTGAGCTGGAATAGTCTGGCTCCAGAATTGATGTTCTTAACCACTACACATACAACCTCTAAACAATTTGTAGGCTCTAATTGCGAGGTATGTGTAATGGTGAAAAGGACATATGTTTCACATTCACATATGCCTGGTTTAAATCTTAACTCTGCAATTTACTAGCTGTGTGGCCTTGGACAAATTATTTAACATCTCTGAACATCATGTTTTCCAACTCCATTGTGAGTATTTTGTAAATCTGTTGTATTTGCAATGGTCTGTATAATCCCTGAGCACAGTATATCGCATGTGATAAGTAGTCAATAACTTACCAATATTATTATTCAAAAATAGCCTCAAATTGAATATCTTATAATATCTACATAATCCTCTATTAGTTCATGGTAAATTATTGAATGATTTTCAAATGGAGGTACATTTGGTCATAGTTCTTTGGGAAAAGACAGCATTGTAACTATATGTACCCTAATGAATATCATTTAAACATTAACAGTACTTTTATCAGAATTATTACAAAATTCTGATACTTAACCTGTCAATCAAGGGTATTAAATCCAAGAACTAGCTTTACTCCATTTCATATTATTAATAAATTCATTTCATAACAGCTAAGTGAAAAAACAACCTAACTCTCTGACCTTCTATTTGTATCATCAGTAAAATGCATGACCACGTTGAACAAAATTTTATTGGCTTGAAAGTTATGCATGTTTTTTCAAAATCAGCAATAAATATTGATCTTACCCATTCCCTCAATAAGTCAATAACAATGTTTCAATTTCTTGTTTGTTTTTCCCTTTTGTAACAACATCACATCTAAATGAAGACCAATTTCCAAAGCTGAACCCCAGGGAGTGAATAATCTATCAAATACAACTACCTAAAAGAGAATACAGTTCTTTAAGTGGAAATAATACCTGGCTTTATGTAGTAAGTATGACCAAGCTTGGCAGAAGAAAATATTCAGCTTTGAGGATTAAAGAATGTGATATCCACTGGTCATTGCTGGCACATCTATAGCCCATCCCCAGGCTAAAATGATGCTTCCATAAAGAAACTCCCCCATGACCCAAATCAGGATCCTTACTCTCTATATTTTAAAGCTTCTTTTATGCCACCGCACACCACAGCCAATGATCTTAGTTTCTCTAGCTTCTAGGAGCTCTTCCTCAAATAGCACAGCCATACTCATGACTGTGCCAAAATAGGGCTCACAGGCTTATTCTGAGGCAATGGGGTAAGGACAATTCCTCAGTCATTTGGCACAACACAGGCAGAGATAGGGATTTAAACCTTTGTTCTCTCTCCCCTTTCAGCAGCCATAGGACCGCGAGAAGCCTCTGTGTCTTTCTCTACTTTAGAGGACCATGTGATTTGTCTATCTAAAACAACTACACAGTATATAGTACACAATGAACGGTATGTTTTAGCTTGGCTATTTTACAAGCATTGTTATGTGTTCAGATATTCTGATCCAGAGCTGTTTCAGTGTACCCGTTGGTAAAGGGAACTAAATTAAGCAGAATTACTGCATCTCAGATTTTCAAGTAAGTACCAGGGAACTAAAACCGAACTTTTGATAGCCTCCCAGACAGTGGTGAAAGAGACTCGTTATGTATTGCTAGACACACAGGGGACATGACTGAGAGAAGGGCGGGAATCACAAAGGGTCTCAAACTTAAACCTTTGATTCTCTGTTCAAAAGAGATTATGTACAGTCTCAGAGATACACTGACAGGATTAAAAGAAAACACGTATCACAGGGTCTTAAATTTGTTTTGTGTTGCATATGACTATACTTCCTAAAGTGAACTATGAATTGCTATTTTTCATAAATCCTCTAGTTAGCATGTGAACAGATCAATTACACCACACTGTACTTTTGGCGTTAAAAGCATTATTTTAAAAAATGCAAACATTTATAATATAGGAGAATCTGACCATCCTGTTTTGCATGTCTTTATCTGTTACTAGATTAGAATCCTGACATAACACAGTGGCTTAAACCCCTCTTTACTGGAAAATGTTCTGCAGTGGAAAGAAATTCATTGATTATTGAGTGTGATGTAATGTATAGTTTTATTGTGATAGTAAGTCCACATTTAATAGTAATGATGATAGAAATTCACCTTTATCGGTGTTGTACTAAGTAAGCACTATATAAAGTACTTTTAAAAGCACTGCCTCATTGAATCCTTTCAACAAGCATATGAGATAGGTGCTGTTGTTTCATTTCACACATGAGAAAACAGAAGGTTAGAGAAGTTAAATCACTGCCCAAGTAGGTGGCACAGTTGGTTTGAATCTCACCAACTCCAAAGCTCAGGCTCCTCCCAGAGCACTCTAGCACATTATCTAGAATCACGCCTAGACTGCTTTCATTGGCTCTTTTGTTGTTATTTTTATTGTTTACTATTTCAAATTAATGTTATGCTTTAAATGCTTTAAATAATGTTATGCTTTTAAATAGGATTCTAAAACCAACTTTTTGTTCTATGAGGTTATTTTTTGAGTGTCGTTAAATCTAATAAGCTCTTTACTTATCTTTCCAGGTATCTCTTTTCTTCTTATTTCCCTGGCATTGCACAGCTCCTCAATTCTCTGTCCAGTTAACAGTGAATACAGCTTCCTCTTTACTTACTCTACTTTTCTCTCGCAAATTCTTTCCCAAGTGTCTTCCCAATCTGATTCCAGCTGCCTTGCCGGTACCTCCAGAAAGCCTCCCCCCACCCCATCCCCCCTCACCCTTCCCCCCCCTCCCATGCTGTACTTCTGGGTCTGGCTGTGCTGGGACCTACAGGCATCTGCATCCCCACTTATCCTGACTACTGTGGTTACAGGGGCCTCTTCTGAATGCAGACAGCCAGTCAGCCAAGTCGAAATTTATACCAGAAATCTATTACCTAATTTTTAAACAAAATGACATGAAATCAGACTTGAAGATATCAAAAACATGTCTAGTTTTTGATTTAAGCAAGAAAATCCACATTGTTACTGTTTCCACCACAGAATAATTTACTGCAACAGGAGTTCTGGATCTTATGCCAGAAATGAGGTCCTCTAACCAATGTCAAGGCCAATTATCTTGTGGTGGATCCCACAACAAAAGCAGACTATTGTGATTAGAGTCAGAAGCACCACCCAGAGAAGTTGGAAAGCTTCTGGGGATTTCTTACGTTCAGTTTTTATTTTCTCTCCCCATGTGTCTGCTCAGATACACGACCAGGAACTTTGTGTGTGGGCACCGAGCGTCTTATGTTAGCTGGGGAGACGACAGGGGCGATGGGTTGGGAGTGACCTGCCGCAGGTCTGGATGTGAGCAGGAGCCATGCTGAAGGCTGTGTGCCTGCGACACTATGAAGGTGACCACAGTCAAGCCCCTTCGATAGGTCCCAGCCTCCTCCCTCCCCTAACCTCCATCCCAAACAAGCTGCCGGGTAGCCATGCTGTGGTTTCTTGCTGGGAAGGGAAAGCCCAGGTGGCCATGTTCAGGAGCACTTACCCCACAGTAAAGAACTGCCTCATCTCCTGTCTCCGAGACCTCATCAGTTGCTTATACTCCCCGATCCGAAGCTTTTTGCCGTCAACAATGCAGGTGCGTTTCGGTCGAGGTTTGTATTTATAGTTCGGGTACTTCTCTAAGTGGATTTTGCTTAGCCGGGCCTGCTCTTCATAATAAGGTTGCTTCTCTTGGTTGGACATGGATTTCCAGCGAGACCCTGGACATAAAAATAACCTTGAGTGCCCAAATGATGAAGGTAACATATTCCTGGCAAATACAACTAGGCATACCTCCCATCTGTGCTCTGAGTGGCCCCTAGTTCCACATACCTCTGAGCCCCACAGCTAGCCTGCTAGACTATAGAGCAAAGAATAGTTTTATTTGATACATTATATTATTTCCCTCAATAACTTAAAGTAACTTAAAGATGGTGTTACAATAAGTGCATTGTTTTAAAACATGTCTTTGCTGCTTAAAGGTCATCTCCCACACCAAAGTCGTTCCCCCTCCCATCTGCCCCCCTCTCTCCAGAGGGTTAAACACCTAATCTTGCCTCTTGTCAGTGTGACAGGGCTCTCAGGAAAAACATTCTTAGGTCCAAAAACTCAAACCTCTCTCTCACTCCAAGCATCTCTAGCAAAGCGATCATTTGATAAGATGTCAGCAGATAGGCTATCCCTCCATATACCATAACCTACTGTGCACACCGTCTCCCCTGGCCTAGGGTAATGAAAAAGCCTCAACTCTACTTAAGAAGTGATAGTTTTGCAGCCGGAAGGTACCATTGGGATTATATACACCATTTTCAAGTACTATAAACGTCCATTCAAAGCTGTCCCAATGAAAGTACAAAAATTTTTAATATGGTTTATACAGGAAGAAGCAAAAGTATTCACTCCTCTAATATTGTTTATAAAGAATTATCTAAACACTTGATGAAGAAGGGATGTGTTTTTTTACATGTATCAAATTGCATTTTTGTGTCTCGCTGGCAAATAAAGCGGTAACAGCTGTGCTGACTGGATGGGAGCTATTCTTCAGTGGAGATTTTTCATACATAAACAAATGGAAAAGTTGTACAAATATTCTCTGTAGCCAGCAATATCCTGGTCTGCTTTAATAGCCCATCCATCCCTGCTCCTTCCTGGTTGTTGTGAATGTTGGAAAGTCCGTGCAGGTAGCTCCTCAGTGTCCCCCTGACTTCTAGCAGCTTCGAACCCAGCTAACAGAGGATGCTTGGTGCTCTTGTGCTTAAAAGTTTACATTTTAATGAATACACTTACTATATTCTTAATAATTTTTTCAGAGAATGCACACCAATAATATAGATTCCCCACAGCTGCCAAAATGGAAACAGAGAAGTTCTGTGCCCATCTGGGAGCTTACTCATACTGCTGCTAAAATGGCCAAAAGAAAGAAAAAAAAAATTTCAAAGTTAAATATCAAACTTTAAGTACAGAGGAAACCTTGGTTTTCTTTAGAATGTCTATTAATTAGAACAAACTTAATGTAAGCATTGGGAGCATTTTGGTTTGAAAAGTATTTAAATTAGAAGGAATAATACCTCTATGCATATCTCTGAAACTCTAAAAATAAATTTAATTGTAACGACATTTACTATCCACTGCGAAATTCAAATGGAAAAATGGAAAAAAAAAAGGGGGGGAAATTTGTATTTTAACATTTCACCACTATTTGATCTCATGTATGTTTTGAATTTTCTTAGAGGTCACTGCCTCAAAATGTCTTAGAATCAAGTTAAATTATTTATACAGTGACAAAACATGTGTATTTGTGTGTGTCCAGATCACTGATATTCACTCAGGTTAAATATTTATTGCTTTTGAACAAAACATTTAAAAAATGAAAACCACAGTTTAAGTCTCTAATGTTTTTCGGCTTCTTTGCCGGCTCCCTTTGAGATTTTGTCACATCCTGACAGCTTAAATAGAACAGTGCCTTCTGTGTTTTTTCTTTTTAAAGAGGAAACATGTTGACTGTAATGCTGCGTGTTGAATAAAATATGTTCAATATGTTGAGCACAATAATTCCAAACTGTATAATCCGCACGAGGCAAGCTTTACACTAATAGAGCAAGGCTTGAGTTTAATCCTGAGAAACGGGAGGATCACTCTGGCAATTCACCGCAAAATGGGCCTCTGCCCTGTGGTCTAATGTGTTCAGCTCGCTGCTATGAAATTTGAACTAGTCACATCGTATTAAAGTAAATGTAGTTTTATTTTACAGCTTCTAAAGTTATCATTAGAGGCACTGTTCTGCACTCCATGAACTTCACACGATGTGGGTGCTCACCCCCACGTCTGTGATGAGTTCTTTCAGAGGGACATGTGAACAAGAATACAACCGCCTAAAACTGTAGGCTCTGAACATGTTTCCAAGTTTCATAGTTGCTTAGGAATTTAAGAAGACTGAGTAAGGAGAGGAGATAAAGCTTGTCTCCATGACTGCTTTGTAGCAGTGACCTCTCAGAGTTGCCAAATTCATAGTATTAACACATCCTAGAAATAGTTTTGTCTCTAAAAGACATTTTTAGTCAGTCCTGTCCTGGCACCCTGTGGATGTCAGAACTCCCAAAGCTAAATGCCACTTTCTGGGGCAGGGGACACAGAGGTGGTGACAAAGTCTCCCATGGCAGCTTGCTGGGCTATATCTAACTTCTGCAAACCAGTCTCCCTTAGGTATTATATGGTGCCCCTGCTTTCCATTCTTGGGACACTCATGGGGTAGAAGGTCAGCCTCAGCGGCTGCACTCACCTAAAATTTTGCTAATGTTGGAGTTATGCATGTCGGGGAAGGCCTGAAGAATTTTCCTCCTCTCATCCTTCGCCCAAACCATGAATGCATTCATTGGTCGCTTGATGTGTGGCTCGCTGCTGGCCCGGCCACGGGCATCCCTGTAGACTCGTGCTTCAGCCACAGTGGCACCTCCTGTTGGCCAACAATAATACTGCTGTAGTTTAGCTGCAGAGCCATTCATTGCTTTACTTCCTGTAATGTCAGGGCAGGAAGAACAAGACGGGTGCAAAGCATTATTATCTGGATCATGTAACAGCTTGCTGCCTGGTTCAGCTGCCTTCCCTAGGCCCTTCTCTTCCTTTTAAGGGACCTCTCGGAAGCAGAAGACAGTTTCAAATGACAATTCACAGGCCCTTCTGACATAGGCCTCAGAGACACACTGGGCAGCATGAATGGTGCATGTTTTTATACGCCTAGTACATTTTTTAAAACAATCAGTTGCAAGTGATGATGAAGTAACGACGGGCATTATTTTATGCTAAACTTTCCTGATGACATTCCTCTCTTTGAGAGCAGACCCTTACCTATCATTTTAGCCTCATTTGCCAGAAATTGAAGCCACTTCAAACTGTCTCTTTCCCCCCAGTAGAATCTCTTTCACAATATTGGGCCTTAGCCAGTGGTCTTCTCAGTGCCTGGAAGGAAGCCCCTTCTCCCACTCTTCACACTAAGTCCCACTCTTCCCTCAAGGCCTGTTCAAATGTGGTGTGTTTCATGAATTAATTAAGTCAATAAAAATATTAATTGAGCCATTACTGTGAGTTAGGTTTTAGGCCAGGTGCTAGGGATACAAAGGTGAATAAAATAGCCCCTGCTTTCAAGTAGCTCACTGTTCAGTGGGGCGACAGACCCCAAGAGACAACTGTCATGGCGTATAAGGTAAGTGCTTATAACACTGAAGTAAACAGGGTTCCGAGAGGGCACCAGACAGGACAGCCAGCTAGTACCCTAGGAGAGGTCCTATCTAAGCTGAGTCCTGGAGGATGAGTAAGAATTAGCATGTGAGCTAAGACAGATGGGAAGGGACAGGAACAGCATCTGTAATGATGCCTCCAGGCTGCATTCATTTTGTTGCCTTTATGCTATATGCTTCAAAGTTATTACTTGTCTATGTGACTATCTCTAATTTTTCTACTCCATCCCCAGGAATATGAGACCCCTAAAGCTGGTGTTTATGTTTACTCCCTCTTGTATCCCAGGATTTCCCACATAGTATATCTTTATTTAATGTAAAAGATTGTTTGGTCTTCAACTCATATGCAAAAGTAGTAGACTAAAGGCATGCACTCCAAGGGTCCTGATATATCTTCCTGCTGCTTAAGGGTAGTTCTTTAACATCCCCTACAAAACCATGTCTAAATTCCTGACATTAGTTATAGTTTCCAAAAAGGTGAGTCTAATAACAACCTAGATTGAAAGCTCCTTGAGGATATGGCAGGAACCGGCCTGGGTCCCAGTAAAGCACCTGGCATGTAGAGTTTCAATTAGTAACGGGTGTTAAATTAATGAATGATTGAATAAATCAATGGAATGAGTGAACATAACTCCCGCTTGCTTCCATGCACCAGCATGACACACTGATGCATGTTTCACAATGTGTCAATGACGAAACATCTCCCTGTAGATTGAGAGCTTCTCTAGTTAAATGTAGTGTTGGACAGACAGACGGCAAGCCAGCACTTCTACTGCATAAAGCAGAAAACCTACTCCCCAAAGCTTAGAAGCAAAATATACATTAAAACCAACATTTTTACTTTCTGGACAAAGTAAATCCTTTCAGCTCAGTGGACTGATTATACAGGAACAACAGGACTCAATCAATCCCTGGCCCATCTCCTCCATTTCCAGATACCTTGATTGTGCAGAAATTCATCTGTGTCGGATATAGGAATAAATCAGAACAATAAAGTACACTATTATTTGGCAAATATGGCCATCGTTTGTTGCAAACAAAAGACAGGATAAAAGGGCCAAACTGGATGGTAGTGTTAATTCTTTTCCAAACATGAAGGCGGGCAGAGGGGCCACTTTCTGAGGACCCTGCAAACAAAACCATTTTTATAAACAGGCCTTCTTTTAGGCCTACTAGACAGAAATGATCCCTTACATGAAAAGACTCAGATTCCAAGATGCATAACTAATATGCTACCTTTTTGCCACCATACCCACAGTACATTAATTTCATTTAAAATGCACTGACCATACAGGATAAATTGATTTCACTTTATATGGGTTTGACAGCCATGTTTATTGTGCAGTGAAATGTAGTGTAGCTTCCAGCTGACAATATCCATCAACACGGGCCAATATGCTGACTGCTGGGCCAGATGAAGGCATACATTACTCTGGCAGTGAAACACTCATTCAGACACGACAGTGTCTTCTCCTGAGGATCACTCCAGTAATTTATGATGCCCTCCATGCCATTACTTTACAACTGACATGGATGCAGCAATTTATATACTTGCATGCATACACATAAAAGAAGACGGGCTTGTGGAGAATGCCATATGCAAAGACATTTCAATATTATTCTAAGTTAGTTACTATGCCACAGGTGATTGACATTGGAGATTTGCTCTTATTGTCATAGCTTTCTCTCCACCTCCAACAAACCTAAAGTAGCCAGGTTTTCTTCATTTAAAAGATGTATTTTCATTGTGAATAGGATGTTTTAATCTCCTACAACCTAACAGGGATCATGGTAGATTTTTAGATTCTGTTTCAGTAGATCTTCTATTCCAGATCAATTGATTCTCCCAGACACATCACACATATGCCCCATCTCTCCCTGTCTCAGTCCATTCCACACTCGTAGCACATCCTTTCCACTCTCTTCTATCTTACTAACCTTTATCTTTTTCCAAGGAAGAGGGTTCAGGTTTTACCCCATCAACTGCCCTCCACTGACCTTGCCTCTTTCTCCCATAGTTCATTTTGTCTCATGACACTGACACTGGATTAATTACACAGCAGATTTCTAGGAGTCACAGGACTGCTCTAGGAAATTAAGAAATCCAAGCATGGTACAGAGTATAAAATAAAAATTAGGAAAGATAAAATAGAAAATGCCCACTTCTCTTTTTTCTTGTCTCCTCTTCTCTCTTCCAAGGGGAGTAAACTGAAAAAATGAATGGGTCATCCTAAGGAAAACTAGGAATGTCTATGAACCAAGATTTGGGAAGAAGAAGAGACTTATCTTGGGAGATCATTTTTAAACTGAACATCTGATCAGAATCAGAATTTTAGGAAAGTATTAAGAGGCCTCAAAATCAAAAGAATATTTAGAAAGTGTCCTTTAATTTCCCCAAACTTTGCTTTATGAAACAGAATGGTTAAAGAATAATTGTTGCAACAATAGAAATACATATTAAATTCAGAAATTTAAAAATGGATTCTATGAAAGCCCTTTTAAACACATAACGAAAATTCTATAGAACACTAAAAGATTGTTTTTAAAAGGTATGCTATTAGTCTGAATATTTAAAGCCTAAAATCCATGTTCTGTTCTAATTAACTTTAAAATCTACATATCAAGTGTGACTTCATACTGCTTCATTCATTTTTGAAAATAACATCAAGGTGTTTTTTAGGGTTTTTTTAAAAGCCACTTTATCCTGAAATAGCCAATGCTCTGTGTCAGAATCCGGAATTGTCCTAGGGAATGTCTCACAATCTATAAGGCAGCTTCTTTTACTTTTTCTAGCAGAGGATCATTTATTCATGTTGTGTCTTCTCATGGAAAACATTTGGAAGAAGCTTAGAACCACAGCTATGTACCTGGACTTCTGCTTTCCAGCTGATCCAAGAGTCTTTAATTATCAACAAAAGCATTCCTAAATGACAGTTGCTGAAAGGCCAGAGGTCAACAGAACCACATTAGGCACACTGGTCCCCTGTACTCCCAGCATTCCTGCTCACTCCAACTTCACCGAGGGGCTTGGATTGATTAATTCACCCTTCATCTCCCATATCACAGTTTGTGTAAAGGCAAACTTTCAGTTAGATAAAGAAAGATTGTGTATGGGGAGAAAATAGAAATTATAAAGGAAAAGACTTCCTTAGGAATCTGAGATTTAAATGATTTAAAGAGAAGACAGAAAGTTGAGTTTTTCCAGGTGGGTTGGAAAGAGGGCCAGTTTAACCACCATAGCCTATGGCAATGGTCCTAAACTAATCCTAGAGAGGCCCCTTTCCTGGGTAAATTCCAAGAGTTATGTGAGTGAATGAGTAAGTGTTTGGTGTGTGCTTTTGTATACATAAAGTTCTCACTAAGGAGGAGCTTTAGCTAGTTCTATAATGTGCCTGGTAATCATTTATGCATGCATTAATTTAGCAAGCACTTCTGACACATTTTTAGGTGTACCCAGCATTGTGATCAGGTATTCAAAGAATAACAACACATGTGCCTTGCTTTTAAAAAATTTGGTCCAATGAGGAAAACAGACACATAAAGAAAAAATTACAAAACAGTATAAGTACTAACAAAGGTAATTTTAATATACTATGACAGCAGATAAGTGACTCTATGAATGATATTGGAATGGAAAGAGATGTATATCAGGAAGCTTCAGAGAGGAATTAGTGCTTGAAAGCATATTAAAGGAAGAGTAAGATTTTACCAGCAGGTATGGGTGTAAAAGCACTCCTGGCTGGAGAATCAGCATGAATGAAGGCACAGAATTATAGTGAAAGCATAGTAGGTTATGGGGAATAAAAAGAAGCTGGCTATGGCTTGGGCTTATAAAGAAAATAGAAGAATATTAAGAGATGAAATTAGGAAAGTAAGCAGGGGCCAGATTGCTAAATATCCTTGAATGCCAAGCCAAGAATTGTTTAAGGTAATTAAGCAGGCATGAACAAATATATTCTAGAAGAGATCAAAATGAAAACTTAATGAGAAATTACCACTGAATGGTCTCAATGATCACTAGTAAAATAAGGAATAGAGAAAAATAAGGCGAATAAATACCACACAAGCCCATTACAACTTACACTTTGTCAGACAGAATGTGATCTATGCAAAATGTTGGCACAAAAGATTCTCTTCTGGGATCTAGTTCTGGTAATGGCAGAATAGCTTATGTCAGACTAACCCTCAAGCAGATATTAATTACAAACTCTGGAAAAAAAATATGAAAGAGCAACCATTCGAAGTCATTGGAGATTTACCAAAATTAAAAAGAAACTGG